AGAAAATGTTATATATAATATAAAATATAAATATTTTCTTAGAACAACAGAAATTCACAGATAAGTAATTGTTTGTATTTATTGATTATATATCATATAATACTAATAACAAGACACTTTTTTTTTAGAAATGTAATGTTTCTCATTATAAAAATACCTTCCCTTTGGTCCAGAGCTATTATGTGTTTAGGAGATTATTAATATTCATGGGCTACCTCATTGCAAAAGGGTGCCATAGGGGCTGTGAGTTAGTACGTGATGCTGCATTCGGCAGGAGAGAGGGGAAGCGCAGTAGCTTGTGCTGATGAGGGCCAGGGATTCTGCTGAAAGATTCAAATTGCTGCAACTGTCTGCAAAGAACTTATAACATCATCTGCACAGCAAGGAATACAGGGCATCATTTATTTACTCATGGCTTGCATTATTGGGAAAATGGGTGGAGGGAAGATGAAGGCTCATGAAAATAAGCACCTAAAGTATTTTTTTATACATCGTCAGTAATTCTATGAGAAGGAAGGAAATGCTGTAATTTTAGCAATGGCTAATCATTTCAGATTTTTTCTGTGAAAGGATATACTTCCAGATATTACATAGGTGAGTTTATGGACAAGTATTTTTCTAGCTTTCTTACCACTGTCTTACTATCTTCCTTTTCCAGGTGGAATGTACAGGTATTTTATGTAATTACTGAGAGATACTGAGTGCAGATCTATACACCAATTTTCTCAAATCAAATTATTTGTCCCGTATGCTTTTATGGATCTTGAATGCATATATAGTAGTTATCTGTACATAGAAAGATATATAATGATTTAATACAGGTACTTGGCTTGATTTTAGTTCTGTATAGTTGTGTGCGCTCTACTTTAATATAACCAAGTATAATACACAGTGCTTTTGTAGTGTTCTCATAGAATTTGCTTCAGGGTTAATTTTTATGCTATCTTGTAATTCAAAATACTCTTTGAGTAAGTTTTTTGTCTTAATAGCTCGTTCCTTGTTCCCACAGATACAACTTTCAGGTAGGGATAGCTTGCAAAAGTGAATGTGTTGCTTTCTTTCAGAACTCTGATGGCTGACATGTGAATACAGTCTTGATGTTGCCTTATGTAGTTCAGATACAACTTTAGATGGGATCTGTCTCAACTGCATAAGTTTTGGAAGGAAATATAACTTTTTTCTCTTGGTAGAGGGAACAGTGTCTTCCCTGCTGATGCAGAAACCTGGGGGTAGTGTCTGACCCCAGTTCTGGGGAAGCTCCTCTGCTCTTGCTGGGGTTAGAGAGAGGTTAACTTCTTTAGAAGTTAACTAAAAAAAAAAGAAAAAAAAAAAGGAGTCAAAAATCCAATTACTCTATTTCTATGCTGAATATCCATGAAGTAATACACAGGCCCATATAGATTGTCTTGTAACCATTCTTAATATGCACTTCAATTATGTTGTTATGACTGTGATTAGAAATTCTTAGAAATAACATAAGACTTTTGATGAACTATTCATCAGAAGAATTGCCAAGATCATAAAATAATTGTAAATAAAAATTTAGTAAATTAATTAATTTATGACTAAATGGACTATACTGAAAAATATGTTACTCTTAATTATCTTGCTACAGAAAACAATATTTATTTATTGTGTTATGATAACTAGGTTTAAATATAATTTAATAATTTACCAATTTTAGCCACAGGCCTGCAAAAACTTGCATCTGCATTTAAACAACTATGTTAATAATCCCAACAAATTTGGAAAACAAAAGAAAAAATTTAGTTATGCTATATAACAGTTAAATGCAAAGGGATATATTCATGCAGGTCTTTTTCTTGGTTGTGCTTCATAAATTAAACTCTAACAGTAGTGAAGAAAGCAAGAGTATGAGCTAGGAGCTTTTTCTTCAAGTGATAATCAGTAATGTAGTGGTAAAGCATTGTGTTTTAAAGGTACTCAATTAGATGGCATAAGAATGCTAAATTTTAAATGCCCCTTCTTTTGAGACTGTTTTAGTTAATGAAAAATAATAAGCTAGCACAGGGACTAGATGAATGCAAAGAAAGCTTAATGTTTGCTTTGTTATGACAACAGGAAGTATTGGACAGCTGTAAGATCCTGTCCCATTATGCCCGTTTCTAGCAAATTAATAGCTATTTTGTCCTAGTAAACTAGAACATATTTCCTAAGAATGTACGACTTCATATTTTCCAGGTAAAAGAAAGTATAAGATTAATTTGAATTCTAAATTTTGCGCTTTTTTATTTTTAATTAAAATAAATCTTCTAGTTCCCTCTACCTGTTGCAAAGAAACAAAAATGAAATCTATATGAGTCTGTGGAAAAAGCAATTTTTCTATTATTCAAACTTTCCATGCTCCCTGAATTAGTGAATTCATGTGTCAAAAATGTTTTTTTCCCAAAAGTTACAATACTGTCTTTTATTGTTTCTCAGCTAATGGACATCACTGCCTCCTAAATACATATTAAATAAAGTGAGATTAGAGCATTTTGGGTACAATGTAAAAAAAAGAAAAGTGAAAGTTGGCATTAAACATTGTGATTTTTCTATTTAGTATTATATTCATAAACACCTGAAATTCAGCAGAGCAAATTCATTTGTATGGTAAATAATTCTTTATTTGCAGGGCAGATTTTATAGTCCATTGAACTTTAGTGCTGGAAATTATAGGTTTATAGATTAGTATGTTAGCATGTTAATATGGTTCAAATGTCAACAGATGCCCTCAAAAGAAGTATTTTCGGTTTCTTTCCTCTCTCTTACTGACATATTGATGCATAAACTCAAGAATTGACAGAATTGACAATTCCAAGGCTTAAAAATGGGGACAAAATTACTACAGAAGGCTTTGTGTCGGGGCCATTGTTGACATCATAGAAACATTCACTGAAATCCAATTCCAAGTGCTGTTGGAAAAAAATTATCCACTTGGAAAGGATTTGTCCATGTCTAATCAAAGTAGGAAACAGGATGAAAATGAGGCCTGTGTGATTCCACCCTCTCCTTGAAATAGTGAAGTGTCTCTTGCTCCACAGAAGAAACAGTTAACAGTGTTGCCTTCTATCACCCTAGAGACCTTTTCTTTGGTATTTGTATATGTGTGGAAGATGGTATTTTTTGAGTTTTGCTGGGTTTTTTCACCAGCTAAAATTCTTCCTGGAATGATTGAATATGTTTGTGTGTGTGCTCACATTTATGTGAGAGTGTGTGTGCTGGGGGAGAACGGTGATAAAAGACAAAGGAATTCTAGACAGAAACATCAAAATATGTATGTCTTCTTTTTTTGCCTTGCAAACTCAAAAGCCAGTCAGTAAAGTTTCTCTGGGACAGGAGGGGACATGACAGAACATGTTTTAAGCTCAGAGTACCTCAGGTAGTCCACTAAAATATGTTCTTGAATACTTTAGTGCATCAAGCAGCTTGTTCTGTTTGACAGAATAGGTGATTTTTTTATCTGAGCTCAACAGGAGCAGATTATAAGTGCTGAAGATAAAATCCTCTATGTAGAGGTTGATTGTGATCTTGCTATTAAGTGTTGTCTATTCAAAGACTTCACTTTTCCAACTTCTATTTTTATGTGCTCTTACCTATGGTCACACATTAGTAACTCTTGGTAACTGCCAGTGAAACAGGGCTACACTGTTATAATTACATTTTAGGGATACACTTTTTTATACTTTCCTGGACCTGTCTTGGGACAGGACTGATTCAAATTCCAGCAGGGCCCAGATCCATGGAAGTTACAGGATATAATATTTTCTTCCGTTTCTCCCCTCACTTTTCTCTGGCCTGATTTCCTATCTCTCTGAAACTTGCCATGACATAAAGAAGCCTCTAACACCACTCTTTCTAATTTTGACTTTGGCAGAGGGAGTGAGGGGTGGGTGGGAATGGGGACAAGAGCAGGCCATTGCACCTGCTGGGGAGGAATATTGCTGGGAGAGATGGAAGGACTGTTGGTTGACAAACAAGTTTGACTTCAAAATACTTAAAAAACTGAAAAAAAAAAATCCTAAAATAGCATGTAGTAGCAGTAGGTCTACTAATCAGCAATAAAAGGTCAAGGAATTTCCTGCACGCCTGGCTGATTTAACAACTGCATCTGAAGTGAGTCCAGTGCAACTTAGATTTCTGTGTCTCTACAGAGTGGCAACTAACTTTATCTTGCCATTAGAGCTAGGGCATTGCTTGGTCACAGCAGACTTAGGAGTGAGTATTAGCATGTCCTGTGTGTATTTGAGACTGTTTTCTAAAACGTGTTTGTGAACACTTTATCCTGCCTCTATACACTGGAGCAGAAAAAGGATTTTTATGGAAACATTCAAATGCAATTCAGCAGCTAAAGGAACTCAAACAGGACTGACAGAGTGATCAATTTTTGTCAGTCAATGAAAATTCTAGTTATTTGGGATTTTGCCTCAAAATTATTTTGCCTTCATACTGTGATTATTGCACTTACTTTTAATGAAGTGAGAGACTGAAGACCTAAAAAATACTATTATTATATTATCTCTGTGAAAAGTATGAAAATTTAGATGATGATATCTTCATTTCTGTTAGGTCTTAAGGCTTTGATGAGCACTACTGATAAGATGCATGTGTTAAACTGCTGGCCCATGATAATTTTCTTTGGTTGTAAAATTACTGTTTTATTTGTTTCTGTATTGTGGAGATATAGACAGGAAGGCTTCACATAACTTTTAAATGTTTCTCTGTCACTCTGAAAAACATGAGGAAGTGTTCATTTTATTTATTTCCCTCAAAGAAGTGGAGAACAAACAATAGTATTGGAAATACATACTCTGAGGAGCATCAAATTAAGCTTTTACTTATAACCAAATAAATAATAACTTATACTTGCAGCCAAAAAAACCAAGTAAATGGAAGCGTATCAAGACTTAAAATTAATTTACTGAAAAAATAGAAAAAGGCTTTTGTAAATGCTGTTACACAGACAAATTAACATGTTTGTTTTTACTTTGTAACTGTAGTACATTTACTCCTAAAATGCAAGGCAGACGGATGGGGACTTCAGGGAGAATCACTAAGAGCACAAGTGTGAGCGGAGAGATGTATAAGCTGGAGCACATTGATGGGAGTCAGTCGGACACGGCTGTCGGCATGGTTGGAACAGGTGGGAAGAAAAGGCGTTCCAGCTTTAGTGCCAAAGTGGTGGCCATAGTGTCTCGAAGGAGCAGAAGCACATCTCAACTTAGTCAAACAGGTGAGTGAGACACACACTCTTTGGAAACAGGACTCTCACCAAACACGGTTTACCATAATTTCATCTGTGGCATCTGTGTTACATGTATATGCATATAAACCACTCAAGAGAGAAGATTTTCCAGCTGTAAATAAATTTCTGAGATATTTATTTTCTTTGATTATTAAACATCTGCAAGAAACAATATACAAATGTATTTTAGAATATGTGGCATAGTTACTTTCGGACCTGATCAATGAAAACTGTTGTGTCTTAGAAGCCTTGTTTACAGGTAGGCCAGGAAATGCAGAGACATATGTCGGTATCAGCAGTGGATAATGGTTTGCTAAGATCAGCTTTTCATGTGTAGGAAATTTCTTTTAACAGAAGAGTTGAGTATGAGTGTGGGAACTGAAATCTGAGCAAATGAATGGCAGTTATGCAACTCAGATACGAGGTGGTACCTGCAGTGGCATAAAATACATTTTAAAAAAATACCTTTGTTTTTTAGGTTGAGAATTAATCCAGTACTTTTTTTATTTTTTTTTAAGTAATACTGGCAAATTGGGGTCAGTGATTTCAAATAAATTAGATGACAACATGATGCTTCATTAGGAGCATAAGCCTTCCAGCTCTCTATCGTGACTCCAGAAATCTTAAAAGCTTCATATCAGCGTAGCCTCCAGGAACAAAATCTCATACAGAAAGATACAAAAGGGAAGAAGAATGTTTTAAAGTCCTCGACCTGCTCCTGAGCCCCAATGAAGACTTCTGCTTTTGTCTTCAGTGGGAGCAGGACCTGACCCTAAGGGTTCTTTCTTACTAAAAGAAAGAAAACAAAGAGGAAAAGCTTCAGACTAGTATGCAATGCACTCATATTTCAGCATTTCTCTCACATAGGGTATCTAAACTAAGGTAAGTAACAATATTGTTTATTTATATCATTAAATGTTTCCCCCCTTTCCCCTGGTTTTCTTTGATTGCCAGATGAGCAGTAGAATTAATCCTTTCACAATTAAAGCCTGGTCAGCTTTAACAAAAACCTTGTTACACTTTACTATTAATGAATTTTAAGCCAGAGAGTATATAAGCATGCAGTTGAACCAAATGGTAAATGAAACTGGTGTATTTGAGGCCCAGAACTGTAATTAATATTGTGTTGTTCAAGAATGCACTGTGACTAAGTATGAGACTAGAATATAGGTAGTTGTATGCAGTAAAATGCTATTTTAGGTGTATCAGAATTGCGTGCTCTGTACTAAAAATAATAAAAAGTGGTTTTGTAATATAGAAAGGATTTATACGCTGATATTTTAGTCCACTTAAAAACTGATCTGTGACTTCCAAGCACTTCTCAGTATCATCTATTTAAAGCTCATATTTTCCTGATCTTCACAGAAAGGTACTATAACTCTCCAAGTTTTGCATAGTGTAAATTTCAAAACAATAGGAATTTTGCAAGGAATGGAACTTCTAAAGTTTTAATGAAGCTCAAAGAGCAAATCAAATAGGAAAAACACGATTACATAAAACAGTTCAGAATGATTTTACTTTGTCTTGTGACTCAGGCTAAGAGTGGCATAATCTGTGGCATAATCAGAGCAAATAAAATGTGTCACTTTTTTTCAGTTACTGATTTTGAATTTTGTCAAAAATCAGTGAATTAAATTAACACACTTTTTAGAACAATATATGCATGAGATTGGATAGATTTTTGCAAATGACATTGTTGGAGATTAAATACTCATGTCCTAAATCAGGGACCCGCTTCCCTTCTTTCCTATATTGTACAAGATAAGAGGAGCAACATAAAAATGTCTATTTCATTTTAATGTGTTGTGCAACTTACCAACGTCTCCACTATTGAGAATTATAGAAAATTTCTGTTATGACAATATAATAGATACTGAGTACTTCTTTAAAAGTTATTATGTGAAAATTGGTTCTAAGAGCCAAGGTCTGAAATTTTGGAACTGATGTGAAAATTTATGGGCCTCCAAAAGTGGTACCAAGTAGGAACATTTGGAACAGATCTTCAGAAACTGGAGGTGTGCTGTTGATGCTGTATATGTATTTTAAAGGAAGTATAAAAATACAGAAATTAATGTGTTGCCTCCATAGGTTGTTCAGGTCTTATTTCTAGGACTTGCATGATTCTAAGTAAGGGAAGCATGACACAGATAGTTATTTGTTTCTGAAAACTCAGAAGATCAGAAAGATCCGGCAACAACTGACAGAACAAGAGGACACAGTCTCAAGCTGCGCCAAGGGAAATACTGGTTGGATATTAGGAAAAAGTTTTTCACAGAAAGGGTGATAAAGTACAGGAATGGTTTGCCTGGGGAGGTGGTGGAATCACCACCCCTGTATGTATTTAACAAAAGACTGGATGTGGCACTGAGTGCCATGGTATAGTTGAGGTGTTAGGTCTGGGTTGGACTTGATGATCTTGAAGGTCTCTTCCAACCTCGCGGTTCTGTGATTCTGTGGTTTTCTGAAATAAAAAATGTATTTTGAAAAGCGTATTTTCTACATTTATATGCATTGAGAAGATCTGAAATTCTAGTTTACTCTGTATTCAAAACCATCACACTTTTTTCACTTGAAGAAATGGTCAAAAAGGGCTGAATTCAAATTTTGTAGATAATTCTTCCTTTTAGCATGCTGCATGGGTTTGATGTTATATGAGAATGGAAACCGTATATATGGAACTGCTCTAAGGTAGCTATTATTTATAAGATTTGATTTTCTATTCAGCTGAAAAAGGAGTGTGTCTGTGAGCCTTTGCACACATGTTCATGTCTATGCATACACACGTGGATTTCTTTGCACATATGGAGCAGATCCACTTTCATGTTGCAGTTGGAAGGACCAATAATAATTATTTTACACACCCTGCTCAATGCTGTTAGAAAATATTTATTCAGAATATGTGCCTTGCAGATGATCAGTGAAAGAGTTGGTCTCTATTTTCATGTAGATCTGCAATGAAATGATATATTTTTGCTGCACCTTCCTTTTATGTTTAAGATTTCATAATACTTTTAACTGTTGTAACTGTTCTGTGAAATCCCTACTTACCATGTATTTGTTCATTGTGCCCACAATTGAATAGATTAGATAGTTCACCAGAAAAAGCTTTTAATCTTCTGACAATATTCCTAATGAAAATCCAGCTCTTCTTATGTTATTACAGTTAAAAAGGAGAAAAGAAAAAGGGAAAAAAAAAGGAGTAAAACTCCTAAAATGACCACAGAAAATTGAAAATAGGTCCAGGCATACATAACCATTTTAGTTATAATGCAACTTTTCTAGCTCTCTTTGTCAGCCTTATTTTGGTAAATAAATATATACAGAATAAATATGTAACTGCAAATATTCTGAATACAGTAACTAAACTTTTAATCACAGGAATATCATAGAAAACTATATTAGGATAAGAAATCATCATCAGTTGTCTTGATTTTGTGTCACAACACTCTATTCCCTTCTATGGAAAATCTTATCTTGTAGTTTCCATACCACTGACTGACTGAGGCCAATACTGATCAAACTGCATTTTGATTTGGGGTTCTAGGTTTGTTTTGAATGAGATGAAAATTTCTGTAATCAGAGGGAAGAATTTTGTCACAGAATTTGTACTGTATATAGAGACATAATAATGCATTTCTAAGTGGATAGGGGCAGTAGGAGGGGTATAATGAGTAAAATGAATTCTGGAAAGAAGGAAAATCTCCATCTCAGATAAACAGAAGTATTCCCATCCCTGGATCCCTCTCATTTCTCCTAGTACATGCAGACATGTGCCTTAAGAAAGCAAAAGAGTTCCTCCCTTTTGCTTTCTACCCCCTGCTCAGCAGATAGTTCTTCAGAAAGATCATCTATTTGTAGAAGCATACTTTTCTTTAAGTGCCAGCTGTGGCTTGCAACTATTTTGACACAGATGAAAGTGAAAGAGATAGAGAGAAGGAGAGTTAAGGAGCTTAGAATAATGGGAAGCATTTCTAGTTTGACATTACACTGATACCAGCTCAATTTTCTAAAGGGAAGTACCTTGCCATGTTTATGGTTTGAACCACAATGAGATTTTTCTATGTAAGAATCGAAGTTATTTGCTTTTCATCTTCTGTTGGTGAAGTTCAACATCAGCAACCTAAAATGAAGCCATAGGCATTAATGTTTCAGAGACAGATTACCATGAAGCAGAGCTGAAATCAAGTGTTGCCACAAGGTGAATACAGTATGAAGAAAAATTCTTTTCACTTATGTGTGTCTCTGAAGTGGATTCTTGGAGGCAGTCTTGAAGTGTTTGTCTGCTTCCCTCAGGAAGTAACTTGCAACCTGAGCAAAAACAATATTGTACACCGTATTTCCCTATGTAAAAAATATAATTTCCTGCTAATTTCCTGTATATTTAATGTCATTTTCTCTAATTTGCCCTGTAAAGAAGTGGCTTTCTCTATGTTCTTTTGAATTAAGCTCCAAATTCCCAATTTCAGATAAGATAGTATCTTCTAAAGAAATTGTCACTGAGCAGTAAAGTTCTGATAACTGTGCACCCCACAGTATATATATGCTCTTTTTTGTGAGCTCACTGCAGCTTAAAGATCTCTTCTTCATCCAATTGATTGCCCCACATTTCACCTTCCAAGATGTCTTTCTCTCATGGTTGGATGACTGAAGTTAAGATAAAGATTTAGAAAAGAAAACCTCGCCCATTACTCTGTTGATGGAGAGTATGATGGCTCACTGGAGGTACTTAATGACTGTTAAGCATCCCTATGTTGTGCAAAAAATAACCTTGCTTGGAAAACATGGAAATTTAAGCAAAGTAATGCTTAAATTGAGCCTTCCAGGCTCAGAGCCACCTCATTTCACAGTAGACATTGCCATTTAAAAAACAAAACAAAACAAAAACCCAAACAAAACAAAACACAAACAAACCAACAAAACAAACAATCAAAAAACAGCTCCCCTGCCTCACCTTCTCCCCTCCCCCCCCGAGTCTGGTTATCTGTTCT